CCACACACACACCTCCTGCCGCCCCAGCCCTGGGCTCTCCCCCCCGCGACCTGCACCCTCGGGTCACTGGTAACTCGCTCCCAGGGCGGGTCATTCAGCAGGAATTTTGAGTGTGCACAGAACACAGACAGGATTGGCTCCCATATGGTTACAGAACTGCAGTAAAGTGGAACAATTTTCAGCTTGTGTGATTGGAGGATATCTGGATGCATATTATAAGACTGTCCTACATGAATGAGGAAAAGTTGAGGTGCCTTTATTATTCTTTTGTTCCACTCTTTCTTTCTATGGGGAATTTGCCAATGCAATATCACTGTCTTCCTTTTAAACAAACAAACAAACAAACAAACAAACAAAAAATGGCAATGGCTGTTGAAAATAGCAATTCCAGTCCTAATAACCACTGGGAAGCATTTCTTGCTCAATTTTATCCTACTTTTTCTACAGCAAGTTACAGTGGATCAGTATATTTGATTTGGGAGAAATGAAGTAAGGTGGAGAGATAGCTCAGTGGTTTGAGCATTGGCCTGCTAAACCCAGGGTTGTGAGTTCAATCCTAGAGGGGGCCACTTAGGGATCTGGAGCAAAATCAGTACTTGGTCCTGCCTAGTGAAGGCAGGGGGCTGGACTTGATGACCTTTCAAGATCCCTTCCAGTTCTAGGAGATGGGATAGCTCCAAAAATTTAAAAACTGAGCTTGAGCACTCCTGAATTTTGAGGAAGGCAGGTGCGGGGGGGGGGCTGTGGCTCCGCAGGGGAGCACGGCAGCATGTATGCAGCAGCGTGTCTGGCGCTGCGCAAAGCCAGACACGCTGGTCTGAGTGGCACGGTTGGGGGGTTGGAGAAGGGGTAGGGTTCCGGGGGGGGCAGTCAAGGCACAGGGAGGGGGGGTTAGATGGGACAGGCAGCAGTTGGATAGGCATGGGAGTCCCAGGGGTTTGTCAGGGGACAGGTAGGGGGTGGGGTGCTAGGGGGGAAGTTGGGGGGGTCCCGGGAGGGGGCAATCAGGGGACAAGGACCAGTGGGGCTTAGATAGGGGGTGGAGTCCCAGGGGGCAGTTGGGGCAGGGGTCCCGGGAGGGGGTGATCAGGGAGCAGGGGGGTTGGATGGGTTGGGGTTTCTGTGGGGGGCAGTCGGAGGGGGTGGATGGGGGCAGGGTGGGGCTACCCTCCCTCCCCGTGGAGTGTCCTATTTTTTGAATGTTAAAACATGGAATCCCTACTCACAGCGCAGCTCTCCATTCACAGCAGGCTGCAGCATGGGGTATCAGCTTCCTCCCTCCCTCCCCCTCTTTCCTGTTGGTAGTGGCCAAGGGAATGCTGGGAAATGTAGTTCTTTCCCTGCTCCAGGGCTGGCTCTATAGGCAGGGAGCTAACCAAGGAACTACAGCTCCCAGGGCCCCCTGTTGGTTCTCAGCTCCCAGGCTGGATCCCTGCTGCCCTTGCAAATGGGCTGCCCCAAGCACCTGCTTGCTTTGCTGGTGCCTAGAGCCGCCCCTGCTCACTGTTCTCTAAAATGTGTCTTTTTAAATACTACTCTCCCTTTTTTTCCTCCCTCAGCTGCAAATGTTTCTATGCTCCCCATATCATCTCCATCCCAGAAACTAGCGCAGATAAGAAGGCAAAAAAACCGCACTCGCGATGAAATGTTCTCTGAGCTCATGCAGTCCTCCCGCACTGAAACAGCCCAGCAGAATGCGTGGAGGCAGACACTGTCAGAGCGCAGGAAGGTAGAAAATGAACATGAGGACAGGAGGGATGCACAAGAGGACAGGTGGCAGGATCAAGATGATAGGTGGTGTCAGCGTGATGAAAGGAGGCAGGAAGCAATGCTCAGCTCTACTGGAGGATCAAACTGATATGTTCCGGCGTCTGGTGGAGCTGCAGGAAATGCAGCAGGAGCACAGACCGCTGCTGCAGCCCCTCTGTAACCAACCGCCCTCCTCCCCAAGTTCCATAGCCTCCTCACCCAGACACCCAAGAACACAGTGGGCCGACGGGTACTGAACCACTACACCCCAGAGGACTGCCCAAGCAACAGAAGGCTTGCCTTCAATAAGTTTTGAAGTGCAGTGTGGCCTTGTCCTTCCCTCCTCCCCCACCCCTCCCGGGCTACCTTGGCAGTTATCCCCCCATTTGTGTGACAAAGTAATAAAGAATGCATGAATTTGAAACAATAATGACTTAATTGCCTCTGCAAGAGGTGATTGAAGTGGGGAGGGTGGTTGGCTTACAGGGAAGTAGAGTGAATCAAGAGGGCGGGTTTTCATCAAGGAGAAACAAACAGAACTTTCACACCGTAGCCTGGCCAGTCATGAAACTGGTTTTCAAAGCTTCTCTGATGCGCAGTGTGCCCTGCTGTGCTCTTCTAATCGCCCTGGTGTCTGGCTGTGCGTAATCAGCGGCCAGGCGATTTGCCTCAACCTCCCACCCCGCCATAAACATCTCCCCCTTACTCTCACAGAGATTGTGGAGCACACAGCAAGCGGTAATAACGACGGGAATATTGGTTTCGCTGAGGTCTAACCAAGTCAGTAAACTGCGCCAGCGCGCTTTTAAACGTCCAAATGCACATTCTACCACCATTCTTCACTTGCTCAGCCTATAGTTGAACAGCTCCTGACTACTGTCCAGGCTGCCTGTGTATGGCTTCATGAGCCATGGCATTAAGGGGTAGGCAGGGTCCCCAAGAATAACTATAGGCATTTCAACATCCCCAGTGGTTATTTTCTGGTCTGGAAAGTAGGTCCCTTTCACCAGCTGTTCAAACAGACCAGAGTTCCTGAAGATGCGAGTGTCATGTATCTTTCCCGGCCATCCCACGTTGATGTCTGTGAAACGTCCCTTGTGATCCACGAGTGCTTGCAGCAGCATTGAAAAGTACCCCTTGCGGTTTATGTACTCGGTGGCTTGGTGCTCCGGTGACAAGATAGGGATATGGGTTCCGTCTATCGCCCCACCACAGTTAGGGAATCCCACTGCAGCAAAGCCATCTACTATGACCTGCACATTTCCCAGAGTCACTACCTTTGGTAGCAGCAGCTCTTTGATTGCTTTGGCTACTTGCATCACAGCAGCCCCCACAGTAGATTTGCCCACTCCAAATTGATTCCCGACTGACCGGTAGCTGTCTGGCGTTGCAAGCTTCCACAGGACTATCGCCACTCGCTTCTCAACTGTGAGGGCTGCTCTCATCTTGGTATTCTGGTGCTTCAGGGCAGGGGAAAGCAAGTTACAAAGTTCCATGAAAGTGCCCTTATGCATGCGAAAGTTTCGCAGCCACTGGGAATCATCCCACACCTGCAACACGATGCGATCCCACCAGTCTGTACTTGTTTCCCGGGCCCAGAATCAGTGTTCCATGGCATGAGCCTGCCCCATTGCCACCAGGATGTCCAAATTGCCAGGGCCCGTGCTTTGAGAGAAGTCTGTGTCCATGTCCTCATCACTCACGTCACCGCGCTGCCGTCACCTCCTCGCCTGCTTTTGCAGGTTATGGTTCTTCACATACCGCAGGATAATGCGCGAGGTGTTTACAATGCTCACAACAGCAGCGGTGAGCTGAGTGGGCTCCATGCTTGCTGTGGTCTGGCGTCTGAAGGAGAGGAGGAAATCAGAGTTGCAGTGGAATAGGTGGATGACGACGGATGCCACGAGAATAGATATTTATACCAAATGACGAGAGGACCTGCAAGGTGGATTCATGGCACCAGGAGAGCAGGAGAGCAGAGTTGCAGCGGAAGCAGTGGAGGACGACGGTTAGCACCACGCACATTTCCCGAGTACCCGGGAGCCCATCACAGAAAACATGGAGATATTCACTGTCGAGGCAATATCAGAAGAGCAGAGTGGCAGCGGAAGAGCAGAGTTGCAGAGGAAGCGGTGGATGACGATGGTTAGCAGTCCTATTGCACTGTCTGCTGCCAGCAACACCCAGGACATAACAGCGGTGATGTCAGTGAGCTGAGCTGAGCGGGCTCCATGCTTGCCGTGGTATGGCATCTGTGCGGAAAAAAGGTGCGAAACGATTGTCTGCCGTTGCTTTCACAGAGGGAGGGGTGACTGACGACGTACCCAAAACCACCCACAACAATGTTTTTGCCCCATCAGGCACTGGGAGCTTAACCCTGAATTCCAATGGGCGGTGGAGACTGTGGGAACTGTTGGATAGCTACCCACAGTGCACTGCTCCGTAAGTCGATGTTAGCCATGGGAGTGAGGACGCACTCCGCCGACTTAATGCGCTTAGTGTGGATATACGCAGTTGACTGTATAAAATCGATTTCTAAAAATCGACTTCTATAAATTGACCTAATTTCGTAGTGTAGACATACCCTAAGAGAAGCAGAATAAACAAAAGATAACCTTGCTTTTTGCTAAGATAAGCCTGGTCAGCAAAATGCCAGATGTTGGAGCAATAACTGTGTCTTATTCAAAGTTGCAAACAGAACAAAGAAGCCCTGTTTCTGTTGTGTCCATTTCTTCTGTAGGGAGATGTTCTTCCTACACACCAACCTTGAGTTTATGAAAGGTTCACGCAGGTCAGTATAAGATATGGCCTCTTCCCACCTCCCTTTCCCAGGGACCAATGCCTGCCTTAAAAACTCAAATGAGCAACCTGAAAGACAATTTTTATTGCCATATACTTTTCAATGTTTCTTTGCTTTAACCCCTAGGTATGTACCCACTGAACAATCAGAGGAGTTGCTTCATTCCTATGGACCCCGAATCAGAATTCAGCATATATACATTTTATACTAATACATTTCATTACAGTCCTAATTAAATGTTACTTGTTAACCTTGTGGAAGCAGGGAAAGAAAGAGAGAGTTTAAGTGCAGCCATTTAAGTGTCAGAGACAGAACAACTGTTCTGTCAAGTCTTAGCCTAATATCACAAGACCTGTAGAAGCCGGGCTCACATCAGCAGTGAGTGGAAAACAGCAGAATAGTCAGTGTGACCCAGCCTTGAGATAACGATGTTTTTGAGAAGAGAAAGTGAGAAAATACTGGAATAAATAGCAAATAGTCTAAATAAAATGCAGATGTTTTTAATTAATGCACATCACAAAGAGGTATAAATGCTTGTGTGATTTTGCTTGTACTTTGGAGAAACTGAGGCAGAGATGCTCTCTGCCAGCTGTATTCTTCCCCTGCAATTGCTTGAATAAAGCTGTCTCAGATTTTGTTGCTTCCAACCTGAGAGTGGAGTTTTGTTTCTTCCACAACCTGAAACCATGGGCGGAGACATTATGTAACTTTTGACTATTGGCTACTGTGCTTATCTTGTCTTGCTGCTAGACCTTTCCAGAGGTTTGGGATTACCTACCCCGTCATTTCCCTCTGCCCATGGAAAATCCATATAATCCATGGTAATCAATTGATTGACAGTGTCTCTGAGCCTAATAAGCCAGGCGACACTCCGCCAGCACTGTGTGTAATAAACTCCTGTGCTTGACTTCTACACAGTGTGGATTTATGTTCCTTCAGTTGTGTTTATTTACTAGCACTAGGAGTACTAAAATTTTGTATTAATCTGACTTATACCATCTGTACCCCATGTTATAAATTGGCAGGAAGTGTTTGCATTGTCATCCTCTGTAATTGTGTAAATCGTCAAACAGAAAAGAAGCATTAATTAATGTACAATGCTGGGTTCCTACAGAAGGTGTTAGGGCCCCCGCACACCAAGAATCAAATGAGCCATTGTTAAACCTCAAAGAACAAAGACTTTGTTAATTGCATTCCACCCCACCCAGTGAAGAGAAGACCTGTACTGAACTCATCCCATCCGCCTGAACTCTGGGGGGAAGGGAATGAAACTCCTTGACAGGAAGAAACTCTGTCTTTTTGCTGCGTGGTCTCTGAGGGGCCAGGGTCACTAAGCATAAGCAAAAGATCCACAGTGCGTGGCCAGGGCTAGCCCGAAGGGATGTATAGAGCTTGCTCCTTATAGAAACTTCTATCGTCTTATGGATCCTAAGGCTGTAATTCATTTGTGTGTGTGTGTGTGTGTTACCTGCTTTAACCTTGTAAATAACTTCTCATTTCTTTTTCTTAGTTAGTAAATCTTTAGATAATTTATTATAGGATTTGCTACAAGAGGGTTGTCTTTGGTATCAGATCGAGGGTGTAATTGACCTGGGGTAAGTGACAGGTCCTTTGAGCTTGGGAGGAACCTGAATATTGTTGTGATTTTTGGTGTAAGGGACCATCTGTCACAAAGGCAGGCGTGTGTAGGTGCAAGATAGCTCAGAGTATCCCAGGGGACTGTCTGTCACTCTGTGTTAAGGCTGGTATAGTGCCGGCCTGGAGGAGTTTACACTTGATAACTAGTTGGCAAAATCTAAGTATAGAATTCACACCCAATCTTTGGTTTGCACCCTGCTTCTTAGCAGTGTGCCCGGAGGCTGGTACTCACACTCTTGAGCCGCTCCGGCCAGCCTGCCAATATGAACTGGGGTTTAGTGCAAACAAGAATTAATTCAGGGCAGCCCACTGGCCTGTGTGATACAGGACGTTTCAGCAGATGATCACAGGGGTCCCTGTGAGACTGAAAGAAGTGGAATTTGTCTCCTAATGACTCATGCTTTTGCTATTGTATTATTGTGGTGGTGTCATTTCTGGTAAGTCAGATGCCAAAGGTCTCTCTGTCAGATAACCGGCCGATTCCCCCTGCAAACAACGGCCCCTTCCCCCATGTGGCTGAGCTATTGGCAGGAGAGGAGGTGCCTTTACAGGAAGTGCAGAGCTGAACTACTAGAGTTTTCCGAGTGACTGAGGAGGGCTCAGCCCTGCCAGGAGCCATCTATGCCTTGCAGGGATGGCTGGCAAGCACCAGAGTGAGGCAGGGGTGCCAAGGGAAAGGGAAGAGGAACAGGCTGAGTTTCATACACTTGTCCAGGAGTTCCTGAACTACTTCTTGGGGGCCCATGTGTATCCCGAGCAAAGGGAACACCAGAGAAGGGAGGGGGAGCACCAGCTGGTGCAAGCTCTGGTCGGCAGGATCATGGCTCGGGTGCATGAGTGCAACGTGGAGATGTTCACTGGAGAAGCCATCCTGGTGGGCAGCCAAGCCCAGGACCTCCACGTCCGGACAGAGTCCAGCAGCAGCGACTACGACTTCCTGGTCCCCATCCAGTACAACACGAACCTGATCCTTATGGGCAGCCTGTACAGCAAACTCTACACCCCAAAAGGTCATCTGCCAGTCTGGGAGAGCTTGAAGCCCGGGGTGCCGGTGTACCGCTGGGGGAACAAGGTGGTGGTGGATTATAACAAGCTGATAATGAGAGATCTCTTGGAGAAGAAGACGGTAGACATTGACCTCACAGAGGAAGACATAAAAACAATAAATGACCGGCAGGTAAGTGAGATCATAGGGCATTCAAAAAGTCACTCTCTGCTAGCCCAGCTCTGGGATCTTCACTCCCCTCACCCCCTCAGGTCTGCCAGTGCCCCTCAATCCTGATCTGCAGCCCCCGGCTAGCCCAGCCCAGGGCTTTCCACCCCCACAGCTCTGCCGGCATCCCTTAGTCTCCACCCGCAGCCCCCGGCTCGCTCAGCCCTGGGCTCCCCACCACAGCTCTGCTGGTCCCACTCAGTCCCAACCCGCAGCTTCCTCTTCATTTGGATGAAAGCGTCTAAAGATGTCTAATTTCACCCCTTTTCAGCTACGGCTTTGGGAGAATAGCGTTAGTCCATATAGTGTCATGACAGAATTGTGGAAGTGTGTCCAGGAAGCTCTGACTGAAGGTAAGTTTCTTTGTGAATATTCATTCATTATTACTGCATTAATTAGTTGAGGCCGGTCAGGAAGATGATAAACACTGCCATAGGGGGTTTGGTTTGGTTTGGTTTCTTGTTTTTTTTCTATTAACTTTTTATTTATATATATAATATAAACACCAAACATAACACACTGTACATAAACGTCTCGAGAAGCAATGTGCTTGGAGTCGGGATCTTCAAGGTGGATGTTCCCAGTGCACTGGGATCATGGGGGTGGGTAGCTACAGTGCACTGGAATCGTGGAGGGGGGGGGGGTAGATGCTCCCAGCGCACTGGAATCGTGGAGGGGGGGGTAGATGTTCCCAGCACAATAGACTCATGGGGCGGCGGGAGGTAAACCAGACACCTGGCACCCTATCTGCTACATTAAAGAGCCTGTTAGTACCTGGGATTTTCTCCCCATGAAGTTCCTTATACACTGTAATTAAATCACCTCTTAATCTTTTTTTTGACAAAGTCACCCGATCGAGCTCGTTACGGCCTCGTCTACACATAAAAGTTAGGTACACAGCTACGGCACCGAGGGGTCTGAATACGCCGTACCGCGAGGGCTGTAACTATGGGGACCTAAACCCCAGCAGCTCTACTGAGGAATATTTTTCAGGTTTATCTTTTTGCCACCTGCTGTTAATTCATTCTTTAACTTCCCCAGGAGTTTGCCAAAGAGGGGCACCCTTGCGACCGTGGCAAAGGACATAACACCAATTTGCACTGGGTAAACGTTGTGTTTTTATAGCCATGTCCCGAGGATGTTCTTAATCCCATTTCAACCTGGTTTGTGTTGCTGTTGCTCCAGTCAATTCCTTGCCAAGCGCGACAGCCCTTTAATACCGGTGGAACAGCATCCATGCTAGCAGGGGTTGTATGGATTTTCCTATACCGGGATAAAAATCCTCCCCAGAAGTGAAGTAGTTAAACAGTGGAACTATCGAGTGTGGAACAGGATTAACTGATCGTATTTCCAGTGCGTGTTGATTTCAGCACTTAATACAACCCGTAGCTGTAACTGGGAGCTGGCCAAGACTGGATTAATACAGACACAAAGAAATCTGGCTTCTTCCAACCCCGCAGGAATCTCGTCATTTTCTTCCAGTTTTACCTTTGTGATCAGCCTTCTGTACAAGAATTGGAGTGTCATAGATTTTAACGAGCGCTTTTCTTGCCCCTTCTCTCTTTTTAGAGCAAAGAAACCCTGCTACTGGAATTAGTAAGTAAAATTATATACATTAAGGGACTCTGTAAGTGGAGGAATTATAAGCACAAGCACGAGGGAAATACAGAAGGGAAAACTGTTAAATTGCGTAGGGTGAAATAGTAAATACATTGAAAGGGGCTGTGGGTCGGGATTGAGGGGCACTGACAGCCGTGGGGATGGAGGAGCCCCTGGCTGCGATAGCAGGGGCTGCTGGTTGGGGTTCAGGGGCACAAGCAGAGCTGTGCGTTGTGGAAGCCCACAGCTGTGATAGCGGGGTCTGTGGGTCAGGGCATCGGCAGAGCTGGGGGGCATAAAGGGGGAAGCTCAGGGCTGGAGGTGAGGATTAAGGGGCACCAGCAGAGCTGTGTGGTGAGAAATTTTTCACTGTTCCTTCATAATCTCTCCCGCACACTGGAGTTCCCAGGGTTAGGGGTTAGGGAGTCGGGATTCCTGGTTTCTAGTCTCAGTTCTTCCACTAACTCACCACGTGCCCATGGAGATGAAGTTAGTTACACAATGTCAGAGAGACACAGAAATAGAAGCCAGGCATGCTGGCTGGCAGCCGCCACTGCTCTCACCACTAGACCCTGCTCCCCTCCCAGAGCTGGGAGAGAACCCAGGAGTCTTGGGATCTTGGCCCTCATTCCTTTAATCTTTGCCCTGCCATCATCTCAGATCTGCAAAGCTTTGACCTATGTCAGCTGTTGGCTGTTGACTCCCACTCCTCTGTCTTGCCCTCTCCAAGGCAACATTAGACTGGAGAACACTGTGGGTATTACACCAATTAGTCCAGCCGTGCAGCTCAGTGCAGAGGTGGACGGCCAAGCTGTGTCTATAGACCTGGTGCCCACCATCCGGAATAAAGTGGACATGTCCATGGATTGGCCGCAGCAGGATCTGAGGTGGCTCTCCGACTGGTGGGACCGGGAGCAGGGCACTGAGCAGAGAAAACCCACCTGGAATATCGAGGAAATTTACAAAACTGGGACCGATCTGGTGGCCAAGAATTCGTACTGGAGGTAAAAATGCAAATCTCATTTGTTCCAGCAGAAGGCAACACAAATGCACACAGAGCAGGGCTCATCCCCTCCAGCAGGAGGTGCACGCCCCCCCCCCAGTGCAGGTTTGGGATGGGGGTCTGTCTGACCCATTCAGCCCTGCCCCATTTCCCTCCACCCCACTCCAGGCTCACGTTCTCCCTGGCTGAGACCCAGCTCCTCAAGGACATTGACGCCGATGGTGGGTGCAGGCAGAAGGCGCTGCGGGTGCTGAAGCAAATCAACATGGAGAAGTGGGTACCACGCTACGGCAAAGTCCTGACCTCCTACCACCTGAAGGTAACTCAGACGGGGGAGCCAGGGTGGGAGGGGGTGGAGAATGGGTGGCACAAGCCTCCTTGAATATAGGGGAGAAAGATGTAGAAGATTAGAGCGGGGGGGGGGGGGGGGGGGGGGCCGGGGTCCCTCAGTTCTCTCCCCCGCCCCGGGGGGGGGGGTGGGTTAGAGGAGGGAGGCCAGGAGCCAGGACGCCTGGGTTCTAGCCCTTGTTGTGGGGGGGTAGCAGTCTCCAGTGGTTAGAGCTGCATGTTTCTTTTACAGATGGTTCTTTTTTGGGCTTCTGACCTCAACCCAGAGACAAAGCACTGGGCCACGGTGCCGGATGCTGTGGGGACGCTGCTGAAGGTGCTGGAGTTCTGCCTGGAGAAGAGACAGCTGCGCAGCTACTTCCTGCCTTCCATTAATTTCTTCGACTGGCACCGGCCTGAGGAAGAGAATTCCCTGAGGAACCTGGGGCTGGAGGCGCTCAGACTGGAGGTGAGGCTGATGAGATGCAGCCCAGAACGGTACCTGCAGCTGTGCTACGACCTGGCCAAGCCCCAAGGCCCGGGACCCTTCGTCCAACGGGCGCGGGAGCTCGACGCGTTTAGAAGGGAGCATCAGAACGACTTGGAAGAGTTCAAACACCTGAAGGAAGAAAAACAGCCGGGACAGGGAGCTGCGAGTATCTTCTTCGCCCAACACAGACACTTGGGCTCGTGTCTGCAGTTAAATATTCTACGCCAGGATTTCTTAAACTGCGGGTCGGGACCCCTCAAGGGGCCGTGAGGTTATTACATGGGGGGTCGCGAGCTGTCAGCCTCCACCCCAAACCCCGCTTTGCCTCCGGCATTTCTAATGGTGTTAGATATATGAAAAAGTGGTTTTAATGTATACGGGGGGGTCGCACTCCGAGGCTTGCTATGTGAAAGGGGTCACCAGGACAAAAGTCTGAGAACCCCTGGTCTACGCTAACTTCACTTGGCTTTGGATTTATCCCGGGGGAACAGAGTCTGCTTAAAAACCATGAGACTTGATTTAAAAAACAATGTTTTTAAACAATAATAAATGCTGGGTTCTGTTTATTGGCCTTCAGAGTTTTGCAGTGGGTGTCACGTGGCGTCGCTCTGGGTTGACCCAAGGGGGGCTGGGATCAGAATCCGGCCCTGACCCCACTGCAGTCAGGGGGTGACTCCGGTTTGACCCCGAGGCGGCTGGGATCAGAATCCAGCCCTTTGGGAGTAGAAACCGAACCTCGTTTCTCCTTTCGCCCTCGAACGCCATTCGTCCGTGGCTTATTACAGCACGTCCGTTTCCTTTCCAAAGGCCCAGCCAGCTCCCTCACTCCGCACGCCGGGCTCCAGTTACACTGGCTCGCAGAAATGTTGTTACAGTTCAATCTGCGTTGTCTCGTCAGTGTTGTCGGCTAGCTTGCGTGTGTGCCCGTTCCACACCTTCAGTGTGTGGTGTAACGTGGGCTCGTTGGCCACTGGCCTAGAACGTGCTAGAAAACCCCTGCCGACAGCACTCCTTTGAAAAGCCGGTTGTTCTTGCCAGGCTGTCGTACCAGACTCATTTACACCGATGTCAATAAGCTGCGAACGGGATGGGGTGAGTCCGCCTCGCTCTGCATGCACCAGGTTTGTGTGTGGTGAGGAATGGGGGGAGGGAGGGGTGTGTGAGGGAGGAATGGATGGAGGGGTGGGTGGGCGGGGGAGGGATGGACAATTCAGCCCATACTGAAATCACACCCAACAGCTGGCACATCTGTGCTATTTGCCCCCTTCTGGCTCCCACCCCACCCACCCCCATCTGTTCCCCCACCCGCCTGGCAGTGCTGACACCTGCATTTCCACTGGCTTTTATTATACAACTCTGGGTGATTTCACTCCATGCTTCTCCCTCCCCAGCATGCCCTCCTACCCGTGTCATCACCCCCCAGACTCCCCCCTCCCTGTTAATCCCCAGCCCCACACCCACCCCAGCAAAGTGTCACTTAGCAAATGGGGAAACAGGGGGACCCTGACACCCCTACACACTATCCCCACCCTGTTCCCCTGGGCATGTGGCACCCTTTGGTGGCAGTAGTGGGATAGTGCCAAGGGTGCCCATACACACAGGTGCCCCCTGGTGACAGAAGTGAGATATGGCGCAGACACACAGCCCTGTGCACCCAGGTGCTCCCTGGTGTTAGTAGTGGGATACTGCACAGAGAGAGACTTTCCACCACATGTGCACACAGAAGGCCCCTGGTGGGCAAGGTGGGATAATTATTCCTACAGAGTCACCACTGGAGAACCAAACCTGTGATATGCCCCACTCTAGGTGTATTCAGATAACTGTGATATGACATTATTCCGCTCATCCTGTTATCTTCCCATATATGATGGGCTCACTGGGGATATGTCATAAAGTTATCACCTGATTTTCATGACAAGAATTGCAAGTTTTCGTCTACAGGTCGTTAAAGCCCCTTGTGTGGTTTCTACAGTATTGATGTCTTTATGCTGTAAATACATTTCTGCAAC